AGCTGTGATTGGTCACAGCTTGTCACATGGTACAAGGCTGTTGTGAATAGCCTTGTACCATGTGACCTCTGTGATCATTCACAGATTTCACACGTAGTAAGTATTGATGTCACAAGTGACATCTTGCTTACTACTTTGCTTGTGATCACTGATTGGCCAATCAGTGATCACATGTACGAGGTCCCATCCGACGATTGGTGTTTCACTGTGTCTGGAGGACACAGCAGGCACCGGATTGCAGTGCTGAGCGCTCCTGGGGAGCATGCACAAGCAGGGAGCGGGGAGGCCGTTTATAAACGGCCACCTGACCCTGCAATGCCACCGTCTGGCCGTTTATATACAATGGCCGGTCGGGAGGTGGTTAAGGATAGTGATCCTATGAAGCCATTTATTATCACATAGTTGTTTGTCTCCTTTTAAAATCATACTAATAACAGAAATCACCCAAATGGCCATGATCAAAAGTTTCCATCTACTGGAATATTTGGCCTTGGGACAGATACAGACAAGATAACACACATGGGTTAAAATGACAATTAAAGGTTAATTTCCCACATCTGCGGCTTTTTAAATTGGAACAAGGATAGACCAGGGGCGGACTGACCATTTGGAAACTCGGGCGCTGCCCGAAGGCCCGTGGTCAGTAGGGGGATGCCCCTGGTACCTTTTTCATAGGCTTTTTTGAGTTTGGGCAAGGACACAGGGGCCCCATGACCCCCTATTGCCCGGGGGCCCCATGAGTTGTCAGTCCGCCCCTGGGATAGACATACATTTTTAGAGAACAGGGACTTTGCAAGCATGAAAATATTACAATAAAAGAAATGTATAAAACATCATTTTATTGAATTCAATCTTAAAAACAATGAGAAAAGTATATTTTACACAATAATATACAAAGATGGCGATGATTTGTACTTGGTATTATTTCTTTTCCCTCTCTGTTTGTGAGAGTGTTTTTTTAAGTATAGAACTGTTTCCATCCTTAGGGGCTATGCTTGGATATATAATGGAGGCCCGACAGTCTAATTTTTGATAGAGAACAACTGCAGGAATTTTCATATATTACACACCGAAACTGGGGGTTTTATTACCTGCACTTAATTCAGGTATTGTTCTCTCATTATGGAGTCATTTAATACCACATATTGTACAATTTTTGCGTGCAATTTCTATTGTTCAGTATGCCCAAACAATGGGGGTTTTTGATTTATTTGTCCCTTCTTCTAGATGACAAGTTTGAATATACTCTATTTAAAGCGGAGCTTCACCAAAAAGGGGAAGTTCTGCTTTAAGCCTTTGTTCTCCACTCCCCATTAAGGATTGGCACCTTTGGGGAGCGGGTACCCGAATTTGACAGGTACTCGCTCCCAGTTCGCTGCGATTGCCTAAGGCGACCAGAAGTGGAAGTCCTCCTCCTCCCCTCCCTCCCCGTAGTCTTCTGAGACACGTGACAAGTCCCAGAAGACTACAGGGCCATTCACAAAGTGCAGCGCTTCTCGTGCATGTGCAGTGAAGCCGCAAGTTGTCACAGCCGGGTGCCCACACTGAAGATGCCGGCGCCAGGGAGAGAAGACAGCCGGTGAAACCAGCCGTGGTGAGGACACAGCTGGACCGAGCCACAGGTAAGTGACTGTATTTTAAAAGTCAGCAGCTACAGTTTTTGTAGTTGCTGACTTTTTTTTTTTTTTTTTTTAGCTGGAACTTCGCTTTAACCTCGGGTGCTTAGGTATTTACAGTCCACCACAGCCCCTTATTGGTCTCCACCATGCAATTGGATGTAGGTTCCTTTTTCCTTTTATTATTATTATTATTATTATTATTATACAGGACTTACATAGCACCAACAGATTGCTCAGCGCTTTACAATATAACGGGAGACAATACAGTAACAATACAGTTCAATACAAGAGGGATTAGAGGGCCCTGCTCCTTGGAGCTTACAATCTAGGAGGGAGGGGATAGTGGTACAAGAGGTAATTAGCTGTGGGGGATGGAGTGGCAGGAGAGTAGAGGATTCCAGTATTAGCTGGGGTCGGGGTAGGCTTCCCTGAAGAGAGAAGAGATGGGTTTTCAGAGTGCGCCTAAAAGTGAGCAGAGTAGGCAATAGCCTGATAGATTGGGGTAGGGAGTTCCAGAGGATGGGTGAAGCCCTTGAGAAATCCTGGAGACAGGCATGGGAGGAGGAGACAAGGGAGCTAGAGAGTAGGAGGTCTTGCGAGGAGCGGAGAGTACAGTTTGGGTGGTATTAAGAGACACGGTCGGTGATGTAGTTTGGGGCAGAGTTATGAACGGCTTTATACGTCAGTGTTAGTGTTTTGAATTTTATCCGTTGGGCAATTGGAAGCCAGTGGAGGGATTGGCAGAGAGGGGTGGAGGACACTGATGGGAGGCCAATGGAGGGATTGGCAGAGAGGGATGGAGGCCAGTGGAGGGATTGGCAGAGAGGGGGTGGAGGCCAGTGGAGGGATTGGCAGAGAGGAATGGCAGATACAGAACAGTTAGTAAGGTGGATGAGTCTGGCAGCAGCATTCATGATAGACTAAAGAGAGGATAGCCTGCGATGAGGTCGGCCAATGAGGAGGGAGTTACAATAGTCAAAGCGAGATATAACAAGGGAGTGAATAAGTTGCTTAGTGGTTTCCAAGGTTAGGAACGTGCGTATCTTGGAGATGTTACGGAGGAGAAGTCTGTATGATTTTGTCAGAGATTGGACCTGGGGCTGAAAGGACAGATTGGAGTCTAGGATTACACCTAGTACCCTGACGTGAGGGGTGGGACTGATGATAGTGTTGTTGATCTTGATGGAGAAGTCGGGGGTGGCATGGGCTGGGGGGAATACTAGGAGCTCAGTTTTGGAAATATTGAGTTTTGAGGAAGTGGAGTGACATCCGTGCCGATATGTCACTTAGTAGGTTAGTAATGCAAGAGGAGACTGAGGGGGTGAGGTGGTGAGGAGGAGACTGAGGGGGGTGAGGTGAGGGGTAAAAAAGATAGATTTGTGTGTCGTTGGCATAGAGATGGTACTTGAAGCCATGGAGTTTATCAATTGGCCAAAGGAGGAGGTGTAGATGGAGCTTGGCACGTCGTCTGGCGGGATTGGCAAATCCCCCCAGATGACGTGCGTGTGCACGAAACGCGTAGGAGGAGCCAGGAACGCCGTGACGTCACGCCGCCGGAGCATCGTGGAGCTCCGGCGGCCATCTTTAACATTGGACGGTTAGTCCATGATTTCTCCTGCATTATACTGATCTTTATATCGATCTTTATCCTCGTTTTATTCTAATAAAATACCAACTTACTACACTATGGAGATGTCTCTGCTTTGACTCCCTTGGGGAGTATCAATTCACAGCCATCCATTTCACTGCTGGTGAAGGAGCGTTCTTACCATTTGAGGAGTAGTCCACAGGCTAACATCCGAGGGATCATCCTGATGTCCTAACAATAACACCCAGTAGTACTGGAGGGAGACCAGTGGATTCCAGACCCTACCTTGACCAGCTGATGACCTCAAGGGATCAATATATATATATACAAACGCTCATTAAACTGTGCGTTCTGGTGAGTGTGCATTTCTTCTGCACTATATCGCACAGCATCTTGTCACCTGGAGAATAGGAATAGATGAGAGCACCTGAAGTCACCTTGATATCACCATATGAACTGCTTGTTTATATTCATTTATTCATTTATTTATATACCTATAGTACCTCTTGTCCAGCGCTGCATCGTTTGATTTATATTATTGTTTTATAAGGTTTATGGTTACCTGGTGCACAGCTGCTACACTGCATTTGTAGGTGCGCTCGTATTCATTATTCCCATTAGATGGAGAAGTGGAGGGGTCCAAGGACAGAACCTTGAGGGACCCCAACAGAGAGAGGGAGTGAAGGGGAAGTGGCAGCGTTATAGGTAACACTGAAGAAGTGCTGCGATAGAAGGAGAACCATATATCATATTTGCAGGAGCAGACTGAACATTCGAGCACTCGGGCAATGCCCGAGGGCCCGGGGTCAGTAGAAGGCCCCATGAAATAACCTGGTACCTTTTATAGGCTTTTTTTGGGTGTGATTTGAGTGTGGGCAAGGACACAGGGGTCCCATGATCCCCTATTGCCTGGGGGCCCCATGAGTTGTCAGTCCGCCCCTGCATATATGGTACTACACTATCCAGAGTTTAATTCAGGACTTTTATAATTGTATTTCTCATTAGTTTATACTTACCCAGCTGGATTACTGGAGGGTTTTCTTGCCAATGTGATGGCGAGAATTAACCAGCAAAAATCTTCTATTCTATTTTTGATACAATGTACGGCGATGTAAGCTGAATATAAAAAAGTTTGTCTTTTTGGCAATAAATATATTTGTATGATGCTATAACCAATATTTTACATTTTATTTTAGCTTTCTTGTTGTATTCTACTGTTCCTCCCTGAAAAGATTCAAAATATAAACCTTATGAATTGATACGGGTTAGTGTTTCTCTTTTTGGTGAATGCAGCCAAATAGTCAGTGACTATATTAGCTCTTATGTGGGTGCACTGAGCGGGCTAGAAACCATGAGCCATGGGGAGCAGAAAAGAACTGTCAAAAGACCTGCTTAGTTTCACCATTTCTTGTGGGGTATGCAAACATTTGAGCGCAAGTGTATAATGAGAGAACACAGTATTACATTAAAGTGTAATTAAAATGTATTTCAAAGCAAAAAAAATAATAATAGTTCATTTCTGCAATACATGTGTATTCCCTATCTTTTATACCTTTAAACACACTACAAGTACAGACAAATAGCATAGCTCTGAGGGAGAAGGTATGCCTCCGAAACACGCCAGATTGCCAGTCCAGCTGGGTTGCGTGGACACATGCCATTCCTCTTGCTGTGGTATCTTGTTGTTTTTATGCAATTTTACTTTCCACTTCTGTGAGTATCCATTTGGCATCTATGTTTTGTGAACAATAAATGGTTGATAATGCACTAGGCCAGGGGCAGACTGACAACTCATGGGGCCCCCGGGCAATAGGGGATCATGGGGCCCCTGTGTCCTTGCCCAAACTCAAAAAAGCCTAAGAAAAAGGTACCAGGGGCATCTCATGGGGACCCCTACTGACCGCGGGCCCTCGGGCAGTGCCCGAGTTTCCAAATGGTCAGTCTGCCCTGGTGTTTGCGCTCTCCTGTTTGTTCTTTTTACAGAAAAAAAGCTATTTATGTGCCAGAGGTATAGTGTGCTCCAACCTTTCTAAGCTGACAACACAGCCTTTTGCACTCATGGTGTCAGCCCTGCCTACCTCATTTCTGATGCATTACAAAGACACAGCCCCTCTTCTCATCTTCCTTCTACTCCTCAGCTTCATAGCTCTTTTTGTGTACTGGAAGTTAGCAGCTCCCTAGATTTCTAGCAGGATTAACAGGTATTATTTGCTCAACTCCAGGCTAAAATAATATTTTAAGAGCATAGTATTCTTATGGTGGCCATACGCACTTTGATAAATGATCGGTTTCTTTTCCAGTCGATTTCTTACAATAGTTCTATTCGGCCTATCCTCGACAATTCATTTGATTGATATGTCACACATGGTGAAAATTAATTTTGATTGAATGTTAAAATACAATTGTAATTTAAGATTGTAAATTATCCACCATGTAATCTCATAATCTGATCCATCGAAATATGATGGAATTTGTTCTGTATAGTTACATAGTTAGTCTGGCTGAAAAAAGACAAAGTCCATCCAGTTCAACATAAAAAAAAAAAAAGTTATAATCCTACACCCACAGTTGATCCAGAGGAAGGCAAAAAAACCCAGCAAAGTATGATCCAATTTGCTTCTGCTGGGAAAAAAAATCCTTCCTGATCCTCCGAGAGGCAATTGGATATTCCCTGGATCAACTTTGCCTATAAATGTTATATCCAGTTATATTCTGTGTATCTAAGAAATAATCCAGGACTTTTTAAAGCAATCCATTGAGCTGGCCAGAACCAACTCTTGAGGGAGTCTATTCCACATTTTCACACCTCTTACTGTGAAGAAACCTTTCCGTATTTGGAGATTACATTTATTTTCCTCCAGACGTAAAGAGTGTTGATCATATCCCCCCTTATGTATTATACATGGAGATCATATCCCCCCTTATGTATTATACATGGAGATCATATCCCCCTTATGTATTATACATGGTGATTATATCCCCCCTTATGTATTATACATGGAGATCATACCCCCCCTTATGTATTATACATGGAGATCATATCCCCCTTATGTATTATACATGGTGATTATATCCCCCCTTATGTATTATACATGGAGATCATATCCCCCCCCCCTTATGTATTATACATGGAGATCATATCCCCCCTTATGTATTATACATGGAGATCATATCCCCCTTATGTATTATACATGGTGATCATATCCCTTATGTATTATACATGGAGATCATATCCCCCTTATGTATTATACATGGAGATCATATCCCCCCCTTATGTATTATACATGGAGATCATATCCCCCCTTATGTATTATACATGGTGATCATATCCCCCTTTATGTATTATACATGGAGATCATATTCCCCCTTAATCTCCTCTTCTAAAGAGACAATAAATTCAGTTCCTCTAATCTTTCCTCATAGCTGATCTCCTCCATGCCTCTTATCAGTTTGGTTGACCTTCTCTGTACTTTCTCCAGTTCCCCAATGTTCTTTTTGTGAATTGGTGCCCAAAACTGAACTGCATATTCCAGATGAGGTATTACTAATGATTTGTACCGGGGTAATATGATATCTCTCTCTCTGGAGTCTATACCTCTTTTAATACAAGAGAGGATTTTGCTTGCTTTAGAAACCGCAGCTTGGCATTGCATACCAATATTAAGCTTGTGATCTACCAGAACCCCCAGATCCTTCTCCACCATTGATTCCCCCAGTTGTACCCCCTAGTATGTATGATGCATGCATATTCTTAGCCCCCAAGTGCAGAACCTTACATTCATCAACATTAAACCTCATTTCCCACATGGAAGAAGAATATATTTGAAATGCTACAATTGTGGCCATAGTCAATATATTTCAAAATATATTTCAATAAAAAAAAAAAAATATATATATATATATATATATATAAATATATACAGTATATATTACTAACCGTTCTGTATCTGCCACCCTCTCTGCCAATCCCTCCACTGGCCTCCACCCCTCTCTGCCAATCCCTCCACTGGCCTCCACCCCTCTCTGCCAATCCCTCCACTGGCCTCCACCCCCTCTGCCAATCCCTCCACTGGCCTCCACCCCTCTCTGCCAATCCCTCCACTGGCTTCCCATTGCCCAACTGATAAAATTCAAAACATTAACAATAACATATAAAGCCATTTATAACTCTGCCCCAAATTACATCACTGATCTTGTCTCCAAATATCACCCAAACCGTACTCTCCACTCCTCGCAAGACCTCCTGCTCTCTAGCTCCCTTGTCTCCTCCTCCCATGCTCATCTCCAGGACTTCTCCAGAGCTTCTCCCATCCTCTGCAACTCTCTACCCCAATTTATCAGACTATCGCCTACTCTGCTCACTTTTAGGCGATCTCTGAAAACCTATCTCTTCAGGGAAGCCTATCCTGCCCTCAGCTAATAATGGAATCTTCTACTCTTCCAACCAGTTGATCCCCCACAATTACTACCTTTTGTACCACTAGCCCTCCCTCCTAGATTGTAAGCTCCAAGGATCAGGGCCCTCCTAACCCTCTTGTATTGAACTGTATTGTTGCTGTATTGTCTCCCGTTATATTGTAAAGTGCTGAGCAAACTGTTGGCGCTATATAATTCCTGTATAATATATATATATATATATATATATATATATATATATATATACACTGTATGTGTTTTTATTCCTGCCTGGAGTTTGCATGTTCTCCCTGTGCCTGTGTGGGTTTCCGCCGGGTGCTCCGGTTTCCTCTCACACTCCAAAGACATGCTGGTAGGTGAATTTGGATCCTGTCTAAATTGTCCCTAGTATGTGTATGTATGAATGTGGGTTAGGCTGGCCATACATTATACAATTATTTTCCAATTTTCTGCCCAATTTCCTTTAGATTTACCTTCAACTATGTAGTGCAAGGGCCTTCCCAATTGGATACAACTGAAAGTGTTGTTTAGGTTTGTCCTCCTATTATATGGTTTTTGGTAAATCTAAACCAAAAATCTCCAGTTAATTGTATAATGTATGGCCAGCCTTAGAGACCTTAGATTGTACGCCCCTTGAGGGTTAGGGACTAATGTGAATGTACAATATATATGTAAAGCGCTGCGCAAATTGACGGTGCTATATAAGTACCTGAAATAAATAAATAATAATAAATTACAAATATATATGAAAAATATTTTTAAAAATACATTTCAAACATGCTGTATGTCTTTAAAAATACAAATCCGCATTTTTGGAATGCATTTACAAATATATGTGTTAAAATTACTTTTTTATATGTTAAAAAATCTGAAGAATATATTTTAAAAAAATATATTTACTCTAATTCTCTACTCCTATAGTAGATGGACCCCTAAAGTGTAAAGTGAGTGAGGATTGGCAGGTCTTTTAGAAAAATCCCAAATGACTACAATTTTTGTGTGAAGTACGGAGTCATGATAAAAGCACACGCTCCTTGGTATCTACAGATTGTAGACAGCAATCCAGCCAACATTCCCCAGATCCTGGATGTTCTCTGGATTGCAATTCCACAAAGAGGAGGTCAGTGGATGGAATGTGACAGGATAGACGTGTTTGGTATGTGGAGGATGGAGGAAAGGTATTCTCCCTGATTGTCAGGTTAGGTCACTGCAATGTAAGCTTTGAAGATCGCTGTAGACATTTCACAGTGGTTGGATGTTTGCAAACAATTGCACACGCTGTATATTTCAGTTCGATGATATCATGTATAGAAACGCACATTCAGATTCAATGCAGTCAGCAGCAGATAACCTGAGATTTAATATTTAACATTTTAAAGCAGAACTCCAGCCCTTATCTTCTGAAGCGTTTCTGCTGTACTCTGCTGACTCTGATTTCACTGCACACTGTGAGCTTCTCACAATGTGCATTAGAAGCTTCTGCAAGTCATACAGAACCCGCCTCATTTCCTGGCTTTCTGAGGGCCGGTTCACACTATAGAAATTCAGTCCAGATGCGTTTCTGCATGCACATTTTTGACGTGTTCCAGTGCATTTTTAATGTATTTTTGCTGCGGTCTGGTGCTTTTTTGATGCGTTCTGGTTCATTTTTTTCACCCCTTTTTCTTCAATGTAAATAGGGTCGTTTGCGTTCCAATGCGGTTTTTGGTGTATGCCAGTGTGTTTTTTATGTATTTTTGCCGCGTTCTGGTGCTCTTTTGATTCGTTCCGGGTTATTTTTTCACCTCTCTTTTTCTTCAATGTAAATAGGAACATTTGCCTTCCAATGCAGTTTTTGGTGTGTTCCAGAGCAGGGGCGGACTGACCATTTGGAAACTCGGGCACTGCCCGATGGCCCGGGGTCAGTAGGGGGCCCCATGAGATGCCCCTGGTACCTTTTTCATTGGCTTTTTTGAGCGTGGGCAAGAACACAGGGGCCCCATGATCCCCTATTGCCCGGGGGCCCCATGAGTTGTCAGTCCGCCCTTGCGTGACTTGCCCATCCACCGCAGTACATTTACTGTGATGGGTCGGCTTGTACAGGCACAGTAACCCACCTATACATGGTGGCTTTTTTCTGGGTCGGCTCGCATGCACACACAGACCTGAAAGACTGTGCTGTCATTGGCTGCAGCACAAGCTGATCAGCAGGTCCCAGCCAATAATTTAAGTCCAGGACCTGCTGATTGGCTCAGCGAATGACAGGAGAGAGTTCTGTGTTGGTAAACAACACAAAGCTCTCTTCATACAGTAGTGATATGCTGTTTCTTTCTCCCTGCAAGGCAGGGAGTAAAAATCAGCACATTGTTTAGTAACACACTACACAGTAAACACACTAAACGTTGTTAGGCACATTTTTAACCCCTTTGTCTCCCTAGATGGTAAACCCTTCTCAGCCAGTGCCATTAGTACAGTGACAGTGTTAATTTTTAGCACTGATCACTGTATTAGTGTCACTGGAGATGTCAGTGGCAGTTAGTTCCCCTCAGTGGCAG